CACAATAGCCAGGTGATAGCCTGCATGGAGCACCTTCACAAACTCTACTCAATTACTCACACTTTGGGTTTTACATATGTAAGTCGGTCTGTGGTCCACAGCCCAGATAAATAGCAACACATAAAACGGGACCCACCGTGCTTAGGTCTGTGCCTTTCGCTCCCTGGGGACTTGTCAGAATGAGAAGGGCCTCATAGGAAAATTCATGTGTTGTGCTGTGCACGTATAGTGGCTGATATATACATCTAATGACTATATTCTGTTTCTGGATGTGAACTCTGAAATCTGTATCACAAACACATGTCTTATCAGGCCAAGTGAATCACAACTCATGGGGATAAAGGATCTCATATTTCTGTGCCCTTCCACAGATAATATGAATATACACACCTAACTGGGCCATTCTTGCCCAGCACTACTTAACATAACACCTTTTAAAGAACCGATACTAAATAGTCACTATTGAAAACCTATTAACTCAAGAAAGAAAACTTGCTATTTCACGAAAAAAAAATATTAGATTAGCGTGGTAGAATTGTAGATGATCAGGACGTACAGTATTAGAGGGAATAGTACCATTAACAGCAGCTCCTTTAACCAAAATTCTCTCCTACAGGATGAGGTAAATAAGCCACAGGGGAGAGCTGCAGCATAAAACAGCCAGCTGTCAGGTGGGTTTCTTTCTTTGATATTATGAAACTTATAAAGCAAACCATTGAGATTACAAAGAAACATTTAAAACGAGCTCATTAAATGCAAATTAGTACCAAACACTGAGTAAGTGCTGGGCTACAACTAAAGGCTGAAGAAACAGCAACTAAGAGACAGTTTTCATTGATCTAGGGACAGAAAGCCAACAGAACAAAGAATTTTGCACTAAGCTGGCTCATGAATATGAAGTGTTTTGAAATAAGGAGAACATTTTCTTTCTTTTTCCTTTTTTGGGGCATTTTTCAAAGCAGCTTTGGAGGTGGGAATGGATTTGCATATCTTAATATCAAACACCCTCATTGTATCATTTTCAAGCAATGAAGCTATGGAATTTTTTTAAAATTCAGACTTCAGAAAAATCTTTAGAAATAGAACCAGAATTGTAAAGGGCACAAGGTTGTTTCACTGTACAAAATGACATAAAAATCTTCTGCACAAAAGTTTTGTGAAACTCATCTTGTGACACAATGAATAAATAGTTTATTCATCAATAAATAGTTTTTAGACAGCGTTGCTTTCGTCTCAAGTTATTAAAATGACAGGGCAAGTAGCGACACACAGTACATTCAACCACAAATACAAATTCCGAGCCTTCAAATTTACTACTTACAAGTTTCAACAAAACTGCAGAATGGTGGGCCAACAGTAAGTTGAGATTGATATTCATAGCGGCGAGGCCCATTTCCTGCTTATGCCACACCTGTATTCCTGACCCCTCACGGCACACTATACATGCTCAATCTTACAATGTGTTTCCGTGAAAATACAGCACTGTGCAATCCGTGGCTTTTTTTCTTTGAATTTGTCTTTAAATTACAATGTGCTAGCCTTCATCTATAAAGAAGGTAATAATAAAGAAATACTTGCTGGCAAGTCACAATCAAATGCACACTTACTAACGTTATCAGCGCAGGGTACCCACAGGCATCTGGGAAGCGTACACACTTACTAACGTCACCAGCGCAGGGTACCCACAGGCATCTGGGAAGCATACACTGAAAAGGCCTTATGCCCACTGCATACTCACTCTCAGGGGGGATATTTTGGTAACTAACATGTCTTATACAATTGAAGGCTAGGAAGCACTAACCGCGGTTCTGCATATGCAGATTATTAAATTCTCTAAGAGATGTTGAACAAAGTACAGAAAGGAATGTTTTTAAAGGGTTTTTAAATTTATTTTATGTGTATGAATATAATGTCTGCATGTATGTAAGCATACCCGTGGACATTATATGACACAGTCAGAAAGGGTGACAGATCCCCCGGAAATGGAGTTACAGGTGGTTGTTTGCAACCATGCGGGTGCCGGGAATTGAACCCAAGTCCTCTGCAAGAACAGCCAGTGCTTGCGCTCTTAACCACGGAGGCTTCTCCTGCTCCCAAGAAAGGAATACTTTTTAATCAATAAAAATAGCATTTTTGAAGTGGACACTAGGACTGGAACCCAAAGTCTTGTACGTGCCAGGATATGTCACTGAGCTACATCCCCAGGACAAAGCCCTCTAAGGATAAAGACACTGGATTTTAACTTAAGAACTTCCTATTTCAATTGTACGGATACGTGATAATACCCAAATACCTAATGTATAGGGCATTAAGTATAAATTCACAAATTTCAATACTAAAATTCAATTTCAAACACAACGAAAGGCTCATTTCTTTAAAAGTGGGGAAAAAAAAGTTTTAAAAGAAGGCACCCAAAAATTAATTTTTTCTCGATTGCATTTTCTGAGGCTTTTCTGGGCTGCTTTTTATTACCTTGACTTCCTTCTCCATTTCTCACAAAGGCACAAGTTTTCACTGACTTCAATTAAATTATGTGTTTGAGTCTGTCTAGGTCAGGGCACTTAACATATCAATCATAATCCAAGGTGGAAATGTAGGTACTTTTGAAGCAGTCTAGACGCCAAAAAGGGAATCTTCTATTTTGAGAAAACTAAAAAATTATTTTATGGGTAGTGAGGTAACAATCAGTCCCCTTTCCCTCGCATTTAGCCAGGAAACCAATTCATATCATTTTCCTCAAAAGACAGTCAGGACTTAAATGAAATGGGAGACAGTCCCTGCACTAAGTAGGGGGTGGCAGTTTGAGAGGGCACAGGTCTGAAGGCGCCAGCTCTGAGTGGCACTAGTCAGCAAATGAAATGGCGTGGTTCCAACACCGATATTTGCCTGTACTTTGATCTGCACTGGGCACTGAGTAAAGACCTAACGCCCTTGTTTCCTGGTTCCAAAGTTACTCAGAAAACACAAATCGATCCTTCCAGGGTCTCCTTTGAATTGCTCTGTCACCTAACTTGAATACTATCAGTGCATCCAAATCCCAAACCAGCAATTCAGTTTATTAAAATATGGCTACCAACAGTTGAACTATGCAACTGAACAAGATAATTTATTTCATATTGCTCATGTGTGTGTGTGTGTGTGTGTGTGTGTGTGTGTGTGTTACTTTACTGGGGGGGTAAGAGATTTAGTCATTTATGTTGAAACACTATTCACACTGAGAAAACAGTAGCTGAGTAATGTTTTTAAAAACTCACCTTACACCCCTATGTTACTTGATCTGTAACCACAAAGTCCATACATACTCCTTCCTCAGGTGGGGTTCAGATAAATCTAAAAAAACTGCCTAAGTATGTTCCATTCTTAAAGAATTATCAATATACTCATTTATTAGATGGTTTATAAAGAAGTAATGATTTCTAGGTCTTAAGTTTCTGTCTTTATAGAGCTTAATGACAAACTCGGTCCTCAAAATTATCCATGAACTAGATTACATAGAACTAAGCTAAATGTATGAAATTATCTTCAAAATATATAAATTTTCTTGTAAAATTTCCTTCAATTTTTTAAAAAAATCTCTTCCACCTGGTTTGCTGATTTCAGCTCAAATTTATGTTTATAAGCAACTTGCATGTAAATGTCACCCTCAAAGGTTCAATAAGGTTTCTAAAATTTTATATTTTTCTCTTAATTTGAAAGTTTTCAATTTATTCACCAAAACTACATAGCACTAGGAAAGTAAGAGAAATTGAACATTCTTCGAATATACCACAGATACCAAGACAACATTACTTAACTGGCATGCTTCCCCCAGTGACTGGTAGACTGCTGTACACATTTTAACATCATATTCCTAAGTATAAATCAGACTTGGCTGATTGCGTTATGTAAAGCACGTGTTTCATAAATCCACCTCTCATCCTTTAGACACATGAGGAAGCATGCACTTCCCATGTGCTTGGTGTGATGCTTGTCAGGTTCAGATCACAAACAAGTTCACCAAACCTTCAAGACATCGTTTGGAGCAATGAAAACTCCAAACAGCACTGCTTTCTAAACATCCCTAAGTATTTCCATTACTTTTTCCAGAAACCAGAGTGACCTGGGGCTTAACCCCCACGGGCCTTTCTAACCTTACACTTCCGGCGTTTATTGACCACGAGCACTGCCACGTCCGAAGCCTTACTAATGAAACCGCGCCTGGCTCTGACCTGGAAGGGTTCATCTTTGCAGTATCGACTTTCAATTATTCATCTCGGACCTTCAGGGAGATTTCTGAAACGGGGGGAACTGAGGAAGCGAGACTTCACTCCGGCTGGCGGGACTCTCTTCTGAGCCCACCATTTCCACCTGTCAAATGCGTCACGACTTTTCTGGAAGTTCTACAGAGTAGGCAAACCCGTCCCTAAGTGACAGCTCCGCAGACCCCGCAAGGAGCATGAAGGCCAGAAGCCGCCCTGGGATGGACCAGGCTGCGGGGAGATGGACCAGGATAGACCAGGATGGACCAGGTTGCGGGGAGGTGGACCAGGATAGACCAGGCTGCGGGTGGGATGGACCAGGATGAACCAGGCTGCGGGATGGCGGCCCGGCTGTCGGGGGGCGCAGGGGCACACGTTGCGTGGGCACGGGACTGAGTAGGGCTGGGCAGGGACTGAACACACACTTCTGCTGCGGACACACATCCTGTTGGACCGCCTCCACCAGGGAAGCACTGAGCAAGGAGCACCGCCCCTGCCAGGGAAGCACTGAGCACGGAGCACCGCTTCCTCCGTGGAAGCACTGAGCACGGAGCACCGCCTCCACCAGGGAAGTACTGAGCACCGAGCAACGCCTCCTCCGGGGAAGCACTGAGCAAGGAGCACCGACCACCGAGCACCACCTCCGCCGGGTCTGACAGGCGGCGCGACCCTCGGGGTCCCCTTCCGGCGGGTGGCGTGACGTGGTGTCCCCCACGGGCGCGGAGCGGCGCAGAGACGCTGTACCTGGCGGGCACCACGTACCTATCATGGTCACCGGGCGGGCGGCGGCGGCTGGGCGAGCAGGGCCTACGCGGACACCGGCGCCCGCCCGAGCCTCCCACCGGCGGCTCCGTCGGGTTAAGTCATCCAGTCTTCCCCCGCCCCGCGCTCCAGGCCGGCGCAGCGCGCACGCGCAGAGGACTCGGCGCGCGGGGCCCACTGGGAGTCGTAGTTTTTAACGCGTAGGCGGCTCCCTTTCCGGCTTAAGGCCCAGGAAACGCACGTCACGGGGAGTGGAGGGGGGGGGGGGGGGGGACTGTGGTTTAGTTTGTCCCAGGCTCTTAGCAACCAGGGGGCCCCCCTTTGGAAGGGGGGAGAAGCCCTAGCCCCTGCCCCCCCCCCTTCTCCCCCCCCCCCCCCCCCTAACTCCCTTCACCTAGGAGCTGCCAAACACCTGGATCACCCTGGGCACCACGAGGGGCTGAATTTCTACCAGTCACGCGCCGTTTCACATTTTTCCCGACCTCCTGCTCACATCCGTAACACCCACTGATTTTTCTACTACACTTTTTATAAGAACAAGACGTTTTCTAGGAAGATGGTGGCAGAGAAAGAGACCCTGACCTTAAACAAATGCCCAGACAAGATACCGAAGAGGACCAAGCTGCTGGCACAACAGCCGCTCCCGGTGCACCAGCCTCATTCCCTGGTCTCTGAGGGCTTCACAGTCAAAGCCATGATGAAAAACTCAGTCGTAAGTGATCTTCCCCCCATTGAACGCACTGGCTCCGAATCAGGGGACACGAGGTTGTAAGGATGACTGGCCCCAGGATGCATTCCAAGCCCAGGTCCTGGGTAGGCTTTGCCAGAGATGGTGCCCAAGGTGTGAAGGTAGGCTAGGTGGATAGAAAGCCTTCTGCGGTGATGTAGCGGGCAGGTTTAAAAGCACCTCCTTCCTTGAGAACTGGTGTTTTCTTCACCACCCCAAATTACCCAGGCAATTTGCTCGAAGGAAAAAATAAAATCCCTTTGCCTGTTACTGCCTAAACTAGCTCCATCAGCAAAAAGCATTCTAGAGCGAGTTTTTTGAATTCATGGACTTGCAAATTTTAACATGAGCAGATAAACAACTGGAACACGTAAACTCATTAAACAATAATATACAGTGGTTTTATCTCATGTAGGACATTTTTAGGTCTTGGAATTTACTCAGCAACATTATTACCAAAAGGTATCAACCTGTTAAAATACTCAAAAGCTACTTCATAGGAAGGCTGATTCTTGATAGGCCTTTTAAATACATTTTAAACAATATAAGCTTTAGCTCAAGTATCCCTGTAGAACAAGTCATATTTCATTGCTGTTATTTGTGGTAACAAAAATAAAATACTCTTACCATGAGTGGGAGAGAAGTATTTAAAAGGCACGCAAATGCTTTAGCTTTATGCATGACGCTGCTTTTAAACCTTCTTGCTTATTAACTAGCTTCTAATTTGGTAGGGTAAACCAAATTTGACTCCTGAGTTGGCACGTGTCTAGGAATGAGAGATAAATAATAAATTCAGCCTTTGAATGTGTACAATTTACACCATGCGAGGATCTTACTTGTTACGCAGAAATTCGATATGCTGACTTCCTAGAGCTCTCCTGTGTCCCATTATTTGTTTTACTCATAAGTTTCTAAAACGTCCTTAGTCCTAAACACATCTTTAAAGTACACAAAAGAATAAGATTCCACATAGACTTCCAGGTCAGTTTCCTATACAAAATTGTATTCTCATATTTTGTAATTTATGTCACTTAATTCAGAGTGGTTAAGATGCTTGGATGTAGTCTAAAAACTAACTGCAGATGTACAGAAAATAGAAGTGTATTCTTTCATATTCATTATTTACAGTTTACCATTTCCACATTCTGTGATTTAGTCTTTGCAGCATTATACAGGAATCTCTCTCTGTCTCTCTCTCACTCTGTCTCTCTCTCTGTCTCTCTTTCTCTCTCTCTCTCTCTCTCTCTCTCTCTCTCTCTCTCTCTCTCCAGTGTGCTCTGAAGGTGTCTTCTCTTCAGATGCACATGTCAATTTCCGTCTTGTAATTGCAACCCTGTGTTCCCAAAGCCAGTCCACAACCTCTTCCTCACTCACCTTGAGTTCCCTCTGTCAAACTCCAGCTCATTGTGTAATGAGTCATGCCATTGCTCTCCCAAGGAAAGCATACAGAATTTGTGTTAAGAATTGCAGAACTGTGGAAATTACCTAGAAATGGTGATAAATGTGAACAAACTCTCAGTGTCCCAGTGACAAGTGTTGTTTGATAGGGAGTAGTTCTTTCAATCATGTGAACTTTTGGTTGCATTCTAAATGAAGATAAGTAATCACAAAAATATTCAATCACAGAAAAATATTCAAATTCATGTTAATGCAATATTTGCCTATAAAAAGTAAAAGGTGATTCCTAATTTGAAGTTAATTTTCCTTTTAAATATCCTGTTTAGAGCATGGTGATGAAACCCATGGCCAAAACCCAATAACCCAGTATTGCATGACCATCATGTCAGCAAAGGTCTGCGCCAACAGACCTCAGCAGACAACAAGCAAGGCTGGGATGGTGAAACACACCTATAATCCCACATTAAGGAGGAAGAAGGAAGAGGACTGAAGTTTTGATGCCAACCTGGGCTATGCAGGAACTTCAAGACCAGCACAAGAAAACCCTGTCTCAAAAACACACAAATGTAGGAACACACACACACACACACACACACACACACACGAGTCAGATATGGATCCAAGACTAGAATAATAGAGAAATTCATTTCAATGTGTGTTGTATGCTGTAGCTTTTCTTCTACATTGATGTTTTATCTTCAGAGTGTGGAGGAAATTATTCTTTAATATTACTTTACAGATAAATCATATACTCATGTCTAATGATCAATACTATGTATCAATTTAGCAGAGACAACATAGCAGCAGCTTAACAATATGTAATTTATTTCTCTCATGCATGGAAGTTCAAATTTGGAAATTCCAAGAAGTTGGGTAATAAGTTTGCATGCCATTGGTCCAGGGATATAGGAGACTTCCATATCCCTGGTATGTATACAGGATGATGCATGGGCCAAAATGTACTCACCATCACCAAGGTCAAGTACCTTCCCTCGGGAGAAAAGAAAAAGGAAGCAAAAGGCTACTTATGGCATGACCAATCGATGTACCCCTCTTTCACCAATGTCCTCCTGGACAGACTTTAGTACTACAGACATGTTAATGTGTAGAGAAGGGGATGTACATAGCATTATATGTACATATATAATGACCCTACATGCATGGCCTTTTTGTTTGTTTTCAGGGTTCTGGAGATTAAATCCAGGGCCAGGTACATTCCAAGTGAATGCTCTATACCTGAACTCCACCTCCAATACCCATATCTCTATTTTACCTTTTTGAAAAAGCCTGTGAAAGCCTGAGCGTTGTTGTCACCCTCAGACATCAATACCAGTCCCATCAGGAAAAGGGCTAAGAAAGCTATACAGTTCCAAAAAGACATACCATCCACACAATCCATGGAATGAGGCAGCCAGCCACGAAGAGCAAGCAGATTCATTATGAAGACGTGTCCCAGATGTTGCCCTTATCACTTCTGCTCAAACACTTTGCCAGAGCTTAATCTTATATCCACAGCTGATTGGGAAAGGTAGCCTCTAACTGGTAACTCTGTGGCTAGCTGAAACTTGGTGTTTTACTACTGTACTATAAAGAAGACAGGATATTGGGGATAACTAGACATTTTCTGCCAGTAATGTTAAAGATGATGCATTATTAGTAAAACAAAGTATAAAGACAAAAGAATTACAGTACAAATGATGACATGTCGGTGGTTAGGTTTGCAAACACTTCTTCAGTCTAGTGAAAGGACCAATGATGGAAGCCCTCAACACCCGCACACCTCTCAGTTGTATAATGTCCCCAGAACTGCTCTCTAGACTATCTGTGCTATCAGTCAGTTATCCGGTACATTGGAGTACATCCTATTCCATATTTTAAATTTCATGTCCCCCATTCTAAACCAAAGAAACAATGTGTAGTTATTGTTGTTTGTGGTTTGCTTTATGCTGTTTCTCTTCTGAATGTCCCTTTCTTATACATATCTGTTTATCGAAATTCATTCTGTTACCAGATACCAACTATCTGCTGGTCAGTATATGAGTGTGTGCCCAGCACTCTTAAATGCCAGTGGTTTAGTAGTTCATAGAGACAGAACAGATGCTGTGTGGAAGCTGATAGTTTTTGTGTCTAGCAAAATGCCAACTGCTTCAAAAAGACCCTAAATTCTCCCTCTTTGTCACCCAGAAGGGAAGTTACATTTCACTCATTGTCATCTCTTGCTTTATGGTTGTTTCTGCTCGTGTTTTGTCTCCTTATACGAATTTCCCATGAGCATAGAATCTACCTCTAACTCATTTTTAAATTTCAACAAGAACCAAACAATTTGGTGTTTTATGAATATTTAATGGAGGTGGGAAAGCATCTCTAGCTTTCTTCCTTGCCTTCGCCCACTTTCTTGTCGGTCTAAGTATTGTTTTCTGTAGCTTGAAAAAATTCTAACCCTCTGGCATGATTTAGGAAACCAAAAAAAAAAAAAAAAAAAAAACCACTTTAAAACATAGGCAGATCAGGGAAGTCCTCACTTCAAATCCCAGGCACTCTGCTCACTGTACTCAGAATAGAAGCTGAAGTTCTCCTGAGAGGTACTCTGTGATCTGCCTGCTTGCTTTTTAAGTCATACTATCTATCTATCTATCTATCTATCTATCTATCTATCTATCTATCTATCTATCTATATCTACCATCTATCTATCTATCTATCTATTTCATATATCATCTATCTAATCTATCATCCATCATCTATCATCTATCTATCTATATCATATATCATCTATCACCTATCTATCCTATCTATCATCTATCTATCTACCATCTATCTATCTATCTATCTATCTATCTATCTATCTATATCATATATCATCTATCACCTATCTGTCTATCTATATCTATCTACCATCTATCTATCTATCTATCACCTATCTATCTATCTATCTATCTATATCTATCTACCGTCTATCTATCTATATCATATATCATCTATCTATCATCTATCATCCATCATCTATCTATCACCTATCATCTATCATCTATTTCTCTATCATCTATCTATATCATATATCATCTATCTATCATCCATCATCTATCTATCATCTATCTATCATCGATCTATCATCTATCTATCTATCTATCTATATCTATCTATCTACCATCTATCTATCTATATCATATATCATCTATCTATCATCTATCTATCTATCTATCTATCTATCTATCTATCTATCTATCTATCTATCTATCTATCTATCTATCTATCTATCTATCTATCTATCTATCTATCTATCTATCTATCTATCTATCTATCTATCTATCTATCTATCTATCTATCTATCTATCTATCTATCTATCTATCTATCTATCTATCTATCTATCTATCTATCTATCATCTATCTATCTATCTATCTATCTATCTATCTATCTATCTATCTATCTATCTATCACCTATCTATCATCTATCATCTATTTCTCTATCATCTATCTATCATCTATCTATTATCTATCAATCATCTATCTATAATCTATCATCTATCTATCTATCATCTATCTATCATCTATATATCATCCATCTATCTTTCATCTATCTATCATCT